ATGCATCTATATCGTGTACGTATTTACTATCCTCGTTTTACGACTTGGTTTCTAAGACTATAAAAAGTCGGAAAACGAGACAGATATTTAACTACAATTATTTCTGCAAAATATCTCCTCATTAAAATAAAGAACATAACAGTTACACTATACATTTCGTATATACAATGTGTGTGTATGCACGTATATGTTACATACAATATTCCAACAACTACATTGGATATTGCTATAGGTATGTTATAAAGGCAGTGTTCCAAAATCTGTCGTTAGTGTTATCGCCACAGGCATAATTCATATCATAGTTACATCAAGAAGTCCGTGGTTAGGAATTAATTACTTATTAACCTTGCAACAAATATAGAGACTGCATTTTTATAATAGATTTCCATAAACACATTATGGAAACAGTTTCAGCAAATATTATTAATATTGTTATAAACATATAATGGAGGCATTATTCTCAAAGTGTTGCAACAAGCACATTATGGAGTTAATTATTTCAAAGAGCTCATGTTTGCTAATTACTGTTGATTTTGTCACAGGTAAATTTTGAAGCAACTTATATTACTTTAAACAATAGTTGAAAAGTATGTCTTGTTTGTTTGTTTTTTTCACGTTCTATGAAATGTCTTCACGCTCCAAAAAGTAGTACGTTATAAAAACGTTCATCGTTAAATAAGAACTTGTACGATTGGTAAACATTGGATGACTGAAGGTACCTTATGTGGAGCTTGAGCCTAATATAAATTTTTACATGCTATGCCGTAATAAGGAGCGTCCTCAATCTGGTTTGCAAACGTGTATCCAAAAAACAACAACAACAAGAAAATGGATGTGTGTATGTGTATGTATATATATATATGTCCCTAAATATCTAGCCTGAATTATTGCTGAAGCTAGAACACGAACCAGTTTCTTGATGAAATCATTACTAAATTCAAAAAGAGGTCACCCTTTAAACCCAAGAAATAAATCAGGATACCTAAATCAAATGGTTACGGTGAGATAATATATAGGAGTTGTATATAGGAATTATAATTAC